ACTATAGGCCAATCTCACTAATGAACATAGATGCAAAAATCCTTAATAAGATACTGGCAAATAGAATGCAGAAGATTATCAGGAAGATCATACATCCTGACCAAGTGGGATTTATCCCAGAGGTGCAGGGATGGTTCAACATCTGCAAATCAATAAATGGAATATACTATATCAATAGAGCCAAGGACAGAAATCATATGATCATCTCAATAGATGCAGGAAAAGCATTTGACAAAATCCAACATGCATTTATGATAAAAACCCTTCAAAAAATTTGAATAGATGCTCTCTACCTTAATCTGAGAAAAGCCATCTATGAAAAACCAACAGCCAATATCATACTAAATGGTCAAAAACTGAAATCTTTCACACTAAAATATGAAGTGTGATTTTTTTCTTTAAGTGAAGGTCAAAATGCTAGTTTAAGGGATACCTTAAATCATGAAATCTGTCTAAAATAGTAATGGGTAGTTTTTTTGAACAGTAGGTTTCAAATTAGTTTACCTCTTACTGAACAGGCCCAGAGAATATTAAGAATATATGGAAACAACTCCAGACATACTCAGCCACCTCATCTTTGACAAAGGAGCCAAACACCTTCACTGGAGGAAAGATAGCCTCTTTAATAAATGATGCAGGAGGGGCCAGGAATTTAGCTCAGTGGTTCCGCTGCCTCCCTCGCAAGCGCAAGGTCCCGAGTTCCATCCCCAGTACCAAAAAAATAAATAAATAAACAGTACTGGAAATATTGGGTTCCGACTTGCCAAAGATTAAAACTAGACCCATATCTGTCACCATGCACTAAACTAAAATCAATAAGGATTAAAGATCTAAATGTTAGAAACACTAAACCTTGTGGAAGAGAGGGTAGGTAGAACTCTTGAAAACATTGGTGTAGGAAAAGACTTCATAAAAACCTCAGTCGCACATGAACTTGTACAAAGAATTAACAACTGGGATCTCATCTTATTAAAAAGCTTCTGCACAGCAAGAGAAACCACCAACAGAGTGAAGAGACAACCCACAGCGTGGGAAAAAATTTTTACTTGCTGTTCCTCAGACAAAGGTCTACTATCTAGAATATGTAAAGACCTTCAAAAAATCAGACCTCCCAAATTTAAAGACCCAGTCCAAAAAATGAGCATCTGAAATGAACAGACATTTCTCAGAGAAGCATATGAAAAAATGTTCAACATCACTGGTCATCTGAGAGATGCAAATGAAAACCCTGAGATTACACCTCACTCCAGAAAGAATGGCTACTATCAAGAAATCAACCAATAACAAATGCTGGCGGGGTTGTGGGGAATAAAGGAACCCTTCTCCACTGTTGGTGGGAGTGTAGACTGGTGCAACCACTGTGGAAATCAGTATGGAGATATCTCAAAGAACTAGGACTGGACCCATTTTTGACCTAGCTATTCCCCTGCTGGGTGTCTTCCCCAAAGAATTAAAAGAATCATACCACAGCAGTACATGTGCACCCATGTTTATAGCAGCATGGTTTGTAATACTAAAACTTGGAAGCAGCCCAAATGCCCATCAACTAGTGACTGGATAAAGAAGATGTGGTTTTGTTTTGTTTTGTTTATAAAATGGAGTACTATTTAGCCATAAAGAATGATACAGACATTTATAGCTAAATGGATGCACATTGAGGCGATACACTAAAGTGAAATAAATAGGATACACATATGTAAATACTGAATAGTTTCTCTGGTGTCAAAAACTGAAAGTGTAAATGAGGACCAAAATGTATAATAGATAATGTGAAATAGGAAGAAAAGGTCCAAAGGGGAAGGGGAAGTAGGGGTGAGGTAGGAGAAAGGAAAGAAGGGAAAGGAAAAAATATGAGAAAAGGAAAAAACAGAAACAAAGCCTTCGTAAATAGGGAGGGATGGAGGAGTTGAAGGGAGGGCAGGGAATTGGGGAGAAAATAGGAACCAATATACCGCGTGTACAGGTACAAACTCCCAATGATGATTGCTATTTTGCATACCTAAAATGTACAAATAAACTTAATTTAAAAAAGAATATATGGAAACAGTATTAATAGTTTGAGCTTTCTGTGAAATAAAAGATCTGGTGGTCTTGCTGTAAATCTTTTACGTGTTATGGTTGTTTCAAAGTCTCCAGTTGAATAAAGCATCAGGACAATGTCTGTCTCCAGAGTAAACTGAGGACTGCTTTGAATGTAGTGGATGCCAGTCTTTGCTTATATTTATTCAGTGATGGATCTGTGATCCTGGTTTCCTCTGGTTGAGCCCAGTGTTTAGTTTAGCACATTTTTTGCCTTACAAATTACAGACCAAGTGAAATATTTGGTGTTATATCTGGAATGTTGGTTTTCTGCTTAAAATACTGGAAGCTTAGGATTCCACTCTTAGGACCAGGATAGACCGAGTCCCTTGGAGGATCCATTAATAATTTCTACTGTCGTAAAAGAAGGATGTGTTCTTGGTTTCCCTCTTTTATTTCTCATTTCTTAAGGACATATACTACTTTTGGATGAGCTAGATGCATGTTACTATTATAAACAATATAATACCCCAGTATTGATATATGATTATGTAGTGAATACATAAAAATAGAGGAACAATAAACACCATATTCAGCATAGCAGTGGAGGATGGGATACAGAAATTTCGAGGGATACATGGGAAACTTCAGTTGTACTTAGAATAGTTTCTTTCTAAAACTTAGTAGTGGGTAATAAGTGTTTATTATATTTTGAGTATTTTTTGTGTTAATAATAAAAGAAAATCTGATTATTCTACCTAATTAATAGCAGAAAGAACAGCCGTAATTTAACTGTTGTGAAACTAAAGATCTCCTTCCTTCTCTCCCTCTCTTTTTCCCTTTTTGGTAAATGATGTCTTCTAACCCCTGTCCTGTCACAATCGACAGGCAGTTAATAACCACATACAATAGGGCCCATCAGCTCGGTTGCTTTTTATGTTTTGGCAGATAGTTTAACTTTGGAGTCAGGCAGGCCTGGGTTCTAAGTTTGCTTCTTACTCGATGAGAATTTAGGTAAGGTACCTAATTTCTCTGAGTCTTATGTTTAACCCATTGGGATAGCTTATAATAATATCTACTTTTTAAAATTTATGGTGATGATGAAATATGGTTGTACCTGTAAAGATTTTGGTGTACAAGAGATGCTCAATGAATGTTAGTTCTTTTCTGTTACTGCTACTACATAGTATCTTGCCCAGTGTTAAACACATAAAAGGCACTCAGAAAATACTTATTATATGTGCTACCAAAGTGAGCACTCAGAAAATACTTATTTGATGACTACATATTACATCTTGGGTTTTTTTTTTTTAGTATTGAGGACTGAATCCAAGTCCCTGCACATGCTAGGCAAGTGCACTCTATCACTGAGCTCCATACATCCTCAGACCTACATAGTACATCTTAGTAAAATTTTGTTAACTTGCTTTTAGGAGGACTTTCGGCTGCATTTTAGAAATATTTCAAGAATCATGGATTGTGTTGGTTGTTTTAAATGTCGACTGTGGGGAAAGCTTCAGGTAAGCAAATCAAGCTCATTCTTCTCTAATTACCCTTTGCATGAATTTTCTTAATTTTCTTTTTTTCTTCTATTATAGACTCAAGGTTTGGGCACTGCTCTGAAGATTTTGTTTTCTGAGAAATTGATAGCAAATATGGCAGAAAGTGGACCCAGTTATGAATTCCATCTAACCAGACAAGAAATAGTTTCATTTTTTAATGCATTTGGAAGGTTAGTTTGAATGTACTGAAATTGTTTCTGCTAGCTAAGTAAGTCTAATGCAACATTTATACTCTCAGATAAAACTTGGTAAGGAACAGCCCTTTTAGTACAATGATGTCCTTACAAATTATATGATCTTATGAAATACCTCAAGTATGTTGATACACATAATCATTAGATGATTTTTAAATATCTGTTGACTCTTATTTCATGATTAAGTTTAGATTGGTACAGATATTCACCTCAATAAACTTGTCCATGTTTTTCTAATTGTTTAAAAGCATTTTTTTGTGCTGTCCAGTTTTTTTGAAAGTCTTGGAAAAATCATGTTGTTTAATATAGGTGTATATATGTTTATGAACTCACCATTATATAAAAGTATTAATTCTTATAAAAATAGTTATTTCCTGCAAAAATGATTGAGAGTATGAAATAAGGAGCATACATCCAAAAGTTTGATGGTTGTGGTGCACATACCTGTAGTCCCAGATACAAGGGAGGCTGAGGAGGGAAGAGTGAGTTTGAGGTCAGCCCGGGCAACTCAGTAAGGCCTTCTCAAGCTGAAAAGGACTGAAGGTGCAGCTCGGCACTCCGAGATGTCAACCTGTACTGGGGTGGGAGGGGAGGAGTTTATTTATAGATGTCCTTCATTCTGGGTTATCAAGGTAAAGAAGGCTGAGATTCATAAATACTTTGAACATGCTTTTAGGGGCTGGAGACTGAACCTGGGGCTTTACACATGCCAGGCAAGTTCTCTGCCACTGAGCTGCACCCCAGTCCTCCACATGAACATTATTTTTAAGGACTGTGTTTCTTCACTTAAAAAATATGATTTAGTATTCTGGGCTTGAGATAATTGAGCAGCCTGGGTACTTCCCTAGCACCCAGGAGCCTGACAGCTATGTTCCCTTGCCTTTTCTGCTACCTTTATCTTGCTGGAAAGCACAGCCAAAGTGCACTACAATAATGAACACATGCCTCCAACTAACAAGGAAAGACTTCACTTTTTATAAAGTTCAGTGAGAATAATGGGGTCACACGCTCATTTACTGTTCTCACTCTTTATCAGTCTAATAACTTTGAAAGTATGTGTATACTTGTGAATATTTAAAATGTGTTTTAATATTTCTAGTGTTTATATTATGGACTTAAATGTTAAGCATATGAAGATATTTATGAACACTTAAAATACCTTAGTGTTTTAATACTTACATATTGATGTATTTTATACTACTTGTACTTTAATACTATGTAAATGAATATGGTTATAAATTACATAAGTTTTTCAATATCTACTTCACGTATATATTTTAATACTTTTATACTAAAAATAACTAATTTCTGGACAATATTATCTTTTACCATATTAAATTAACAACTAAATTACATCAAAATAGATTAAGTAGTTGACATTTCCATTTGTTGAAATAATTTAAAATTTTCTGTGCTCTAAAAATGCAAAGTGAGTAACTTCTACAGAGAACATTTATTTGCCTGAGATGGTTTTTGAGTGAAATATTTTTTGGTTTCAGAATTTCTACAAGTGTGAAAGAATTAGAAAACTTTAGGAACTTGTTACACAATATTCATTAAGGAAAACTATTTGAAATAAGCCTGTTCTGGACATTGGAGGCCAAAGAGTGGAATTTCATTCAAAGGGTAATGTAATAGCAATGACAGTCTTCAGCCAAACATTTTATATAAGCTGCTTTTGTAAAAGGAGAATTATATTGTTGTCAGTAAACATTTTTTCAATTTTCTTGCGTATGTTTAATATTATTGTGAATAAAATACTTGGATAATGTGGTACAAATTTTAAAGTTTAATATTGAATAAAAGGATTATCAGATTCATAAATGCTAAAATCAGGTAAATGACGTTTTAAGTCTTTCAAACTAGAGTTTTGTATAAGAAGTGTAATAAAAATAAGACTATGGCAAATGTGACAAATGTTTAATAGGAAAATACTAGGGAGGCTCATGAATGACTCATAATTAACATAGAATTTTTCAGTACATTCAGGGTTGTCATATTTAGCAAATAAAAATGCAGAATGCCCAGTTAGAATTGAATTTCAGATAAATAACTAGTTTACTTGAAAATATATTGCATGTGATATTTGAGACATACTTAGAAAGTATTCATTATTTGTTTGGAATTCAAATTTAACTGAAGGTCCTGTGTTTTATCTGACAACCCTCAAGTACACTGGTATGAAAACCATCACTTTTTACAGTTAAATTGCTATTTTGACTTGGTTGTTTGAGCATGTCAGATTGAGAACAGCTGGAAGTCATAGATTTGTAAGCATTGTGAAAAGCTGAATATATATTTATTCTCATAATACTTTCCCTAATTTGAATAAAACTTTGGGGAATCTTTTTATTTTTTTATAATTTCAGATTTACAGAAAAGTTTCAAAAATAGTACAAAGGATTTTTACCCACATTCACCAACTGTTCACATTTGCTTTATGTGTCATGCTGTCTTTATTCACACATTTATTCCCTCAATCATTTAAAAGTCGGCTACACATACCATGCCCCTCTAACCCTACTCTATGTAATACTGAATAATTTTCTAGAATTGTTTTCTCAGAAAAAAATTCCTACAAATCTGTAACTGTAATTCTGTAAGCCTTAAAATAAGGAATCCTTTCCAGTTCCAACCTAAAGTTCTTTTTGAGTTTTGTTGCTCTTTTTGTTTATTATAGTTGTAGGTGTACAATTTTTATTTTTTTACATGAAGTTAATTTCTTTTGACTCTCTAGAACTGAACTGTAATTTTGGGAGGTTTTCATTAGTGGGAATTCTGATAAAATAACTGAAAGATTTAAGAATTAATACCACATGATAATTGTAGGGAAAAAAAGGTATACCTCAAAATTACGAACCCCCTTTATATGTCTTAGTAGGTATAATATGTTGAGATGTCACATTATTAGTAAATCAGGGTTTATTTATATAATATTTTAGAACTGCCACTTTACACTGCTAAATACTTTTTCTTCTGTGTCTCTTAGGCCTGGTACAGTGCCAAGCACATAGTTGGTATCCAATAAATGTTGAATGAATGTAATGTGTATTCAGCATATTTTAAATGAATAATCACAGAACAAAGTTTAACAATATGTGTTCTATTGTCCTTTCCCCCTCATTTTGTCTGGATAGGGCTGGGAAAAAAGACACTAACTCACTAATTAAGGCAGTCTTCTCGGAGATTCTTAAGTGATTGGTGTATATAAAACTTAAAGGACATTTGTACTCTGGAAATATGGCAGATGGTTTTAAATGGTAATTTTGTGTATATACCAGCTCTCATATGCCCCCCCTTAGCCACCAAGCTTTCTGAAAGAGTATTCTTACCTTCACTTTGCCACCTCCCACTTGCTCCTTAACTAAAAGCTGGCATTTAGCCCTGTGTCCCTATCAGTCCTTTCCTGTGAAGTCTAAAATCCTAATTCTAAATCCACATTTCAGTTCACAAGCCACTTCTTATTTGACTTTTTTCCTGCCTAGTTTCTACTGACAGACCCTTCTTTAAACAAAACAAAAAATTCTTTATTACCTTGGTTCCTTATATTTTGCTTGCTCCTAGACCTCTTATTTTTGGCCACTTCATTTATTCTTTAAATGTTATTTCTCAGGCTTTTTCATTGCTCTTGTCATAATCGGTATACCATCACCCTTGGGTAATTCCAGTTCAGTGATCCCTAATGCCTCCTCTTTAGCCCAAACTTCTCGGTCTGTCTCCTTACTGGATTGCACTTGTTCCACAGTCACCAGTGTGTGTGTCTTCAGTTGTTCTCCCACAACCTACTCTGTGCCTGTGTTCTGTACTTTAATTTCAGGACCATTATTTCCTAAGTTTTCTCAGCTCTTCATTCTTCTCTTCTCCTCTTAGTTCTAAGTTCTATTGATTTTGCTACCTCTGCCTTTCTGATATGTCACTGCGGTTGCATATTCATTGCGGTTACTGGAAGGACTACATGAACCTATCTTCTTATAGCCTGTCTCCTCGTTGCTTCACAGTGTTACTAGATTAGGCTCCCTAGATGCACTCTGGCAATGTTACTCTCTGCTTAACACCCTTCAGTCACTTCGTGAACTGTGTGGAGAGAGCCAAAGTTCTTAGTTCAGTGTACAGTCTTCTATGTCTTCCTCAGCCAAGGTTCTGATAAAGGAGACTTACAGTCCTTCAGATGCCCCATGTGGCCAACCCTCCATGCCTTGTGAATGGTGTACTGTTTGCATCAAGTGCCGTAGCCATCCTTTCTGCCCAGAAAATTCCATGCATCTTGCAGGCTCAACATCAGCATGTCTGAAAATTCCCCTGTTCCATTCAAGGAGAATTTAACGTCCTTTTGTGTCACCACTGTAATTACAACCTACCTCTATTGTATCACTTATTGTACTGTATTATTTTTGTTTTTTAAAGTCTCTTTTATTAGAATGTGAGCTCCTTAAGGGCAGGAAAAAAAATCTGTATTCACTTTGATATCGCTACAGCATATTTTTTGGCATATGAACATTTAATAAATATTTGTCAGATAAATTGCTTTTATTTTATTAGAAGTCATACCTTCACTCCCTTCACCTTATAGCAAAGATCAGTAGACCTCAAAGATTTGGAGACTTTTTGGAATCAATAAAGCTGAAATTGTATTCAAATTTTGTTGTGGTTTTTAGTAGGCCACGAAAGGGGTCTATTCAGGGTGTGGGGCCTTCCACGGAAAAGCCAGCTTCACTGAGCAGCTTCTTCAATAATAAAAGAACAGCCAGGGTATGGCTGCATGCATGGATTCTTGTTCAAGATTCTAAAGGGGCAGGAGGGTGGTGATATAAATTATCTCATACAAAGATTTTCTCAGCTTAATGCTTGAATAAATATGTGCTTTCTAGTAACATTGATATTTTTTAAAGTGTAAGGCATTTCCTATCAAATTGGTGTCTGTGAGATCCAGTTTAAGTAATGATGAGACCACCAAAATAAACTATTATTTGTAACTCCTGATGTTTTTCTTTTTTCTATGTAATACCAGAGTTCTTAGCCCATGTAATAGAAACTCAGTAGAGTCCATTAACGGAGATTAAGAAAACCAGACATCCAAATAAAAGCACAAACACTTTTATTTTTAACAGTAGTGTTTTGTTACAGTTGAGTGAAACAAATACATTCATTGGCCACAGCTATACTTTTACAACCAGTTGGGAACTGATTATATAGCTGAGAAACACTGTTAAACAAGAAAAAGGCAGCTATGCGTAAAAAACCCACTTTAGCTATAAATGACATCTTCCATAAAACTACAGCCAGCTATAATGAGTGGTAAGAGTTTTAAAATTAATGGCCACCTAACTGAAGTGATAAAAACAAATATTGCTAATCACTGTAGAAATACACACTTGAGCAACGAAATCCACTTTATAAATTAACACAAAAGGAAGGTTTGAAATTGTCATGTGCTTCAGTGCAGGATGAACAGGGAACTGGTAGCCCTTTGATTTTATAAGCAACTTTTGCGACCAAACTTAAAGTGCACCTAGTGCTTTGGAATTTTTAAGCAAAAACTGGGCCCGAGTTTATCTTTCTTTTCTTTGGTGATCTATTGTGTGAGATGTGTATAAAGGAGACAAATGCAAGAATTTAGGTACCCTAGTCATTGATAAGGATAAATTCACAAATCTCAAATTTAGTACAACCAACTAATGCAGCTAAAAGGATCAAGTTTTATATGAAAAACAAATTTTTAAAGTAATCTTTATCTGGACAAATAAGAACTTCACCTAGGGAAATTTTACTAGAAAAAATTTATCATCTTGAACCCAAGGGTTAACAAAGAATATAGCTCTTTTCAGATATCTCGAGATAGGTATCTAACATCGTCAGCAAAGTAAATAGTTGTGTTCTAAAAGAAATCTAAGGGCTGGGGATTTAGCTCAGTGGTTCCACCGTCTGCCTCGCAAGTGCAAGGTCCCAAGTTTGATCCCCAGTACCAAAAAATAAAAATAAATTAAAAAATAGAAGAAATCTAATAACTGAAAAAAACTATTATTGCAGTAAAAAATACTGTTATCTTAATACCATGGTTAACTCCTATAGTGTAAAATTTTAAATAATTTAGTTACAGTGAGAACTTGTTATAAACAAATGCCAAGTAACATTTATAACGATTAGTACACTTCTGATTGAATTTCAAGTCTTTTATAACATAAAAAGGAGAAATTTATTTTGCTTTGTATCAACCACCCAAAAGATAGAAAGCATTAGCAATTTCATTTCACCTACTCTTACACTTTTGTGATGTTACTGTATCAGTTATTAAAACTTGAAAGAGATTTTAAGTAAAAATAGAAATAAAATGACTTTCTAACCAAAGTAGAAGACAGAAAAATTAGTTCCAATTCTGAAGAAACAGATTAGAGAATTTTATAAGATTAGTTATCTTTAAGCAAGTTGTGACTTTAGATGTTGTCTCTTGCCTTGGCATTCTGAGGTATTCAGCATCTACTTTCCATATAGACATTGGTAGAAAGTGCATTTTAAAATTCTGTTTTGTCCTAGCCATATAATATATATATATATATATATATATATACCGTATTATATATACGAATGACGGGATAGGAAATTCAACACGATTTTAATGTATTTCTAGAAGAATTCCAGTATTGTTCATCTCTGGTTTTATACTTAACAAGTTTATACATTTTAAGTTTGCTCATTTCATCCAGTGCTGGAATTAATTTGATTTCGGTTTAATTTTTTGCCCAAATTCAAGGTATAAAACTGAAAACTAAAGGAGTTATATGTCTTACAAAGTATTGCACTTTAGTTACTACAATAATGTACCATGACTTAATTTACCTGAGGACAGTCCTGATTCAATAGGTAAGATCAGTTATATCTTGTTTCAGATAAATCCAATGCTTTTGAAAGTGTATCTTGTTTTAACTTAGAATCGTACATTTTATGAAAATTCTTAAATGCATCTGTAAACTTGTTTAGTCCCAAGAAGTATCTACCAAAATCTCCCTATGTAAAAGTTACTATTGCTTTCTTGAAGAATCATGCTTAAACTATTATATGCTGTATATCTTAATCATACAAAATAATACCAATTCTACTCAAAGTAGCCACACAATTTTCACCATTATTTTCCTCTTGAAGAAATTACTGTGGCTTTCCAAAGAACACTGCTGCTCATCACTGTAAAAGATTACTGCTAAAAGTCATTGTTTGAATAATTTCAATTAGTATTTTAAAATCATGCTTCAAAGAACTGTCTTCAATAATTACATATTTTAGTAGATTTTTGAGGAAGATGATACATTTTTATGCTTTAACTGCACTACTCACACTCCAAAACTGTAACTGGGGAAGGATTCCAGACCTAGTACACCAATGAATGTATAGGCTTTGATTTTTGTAGAAAAATTGCCTTCCAATTTGGTGTATGATAATATTACAGTGTAAACACTGGAGTATGACCTTGGGGACTGCAATGTACTCTTTCAGAACAAAGGTAAAAGTGCAAATACGCATTTCATGTTCCAAAGTCAGGATGTTTGGAGGAAATCAAGTGTCTTAAGATCTAATCTTTTCTCTTACTCCAGACTTTCCATTTTGCTTAACTATGCAGAGGTCAAAGGAAACAGCTGCGTTCCCCACCACACACAGCCACCTTTCCAGATCTTGTTCTCATGTTGCAGTGTTTATGTAGATGAAGTTTAAACACATTGAATATACACATTTCATGAAAAACTATTCACGTTTCACGACTTGGTAATGCTATCAGTTTTGTGGTGTCACATATAAGCTGTGGTGATTGTGCATATCTAAATTACTACAAGTAAAGAGCAAAGGAGCAGTATCTGCCATAGGTCCATTCAGGTGGGGAGTGACCGTGTATGTGTTGCTGCCACACCCAGTCATGGTGCCATACCAGCCCAAGCTTTGAGAGTTAGGTAAACTGCAAGAAAAAAGGCAAAGAAGCCATAGGACTGTCATCAGGATGTGAGAAGTCACGTGGGCATTTTTAACATTTTCAGTGAATTTTGAACAGTATCAAATACATTATTATATTGAAATATATTCTTTCTCAACATAATGACTTCCTACAAATTTAATGAACTTTACCTAGTATTTTTGATCTATATCACACATTACAAAAGAATACATGCCTCTCAACTGGTAGAATTTATAATAATAACAATAGTAAAACAATATAGTGTTTATTATGTACTAGGCTTTATCCCTACATGTATCTACATAACTGTTTGTATCTATATCTACATTTATTCTCATTTTGTCCTCACTACAACCCTAAGAGATAGGCTATCATCCCTACTTCACAGAAGAAACCAGCTCAAAAAAACAGGTTAAGTAGTTTGTCCAGAGGGAATTAAAATGGCCAGCAGTTACAGCAAGCTGAAATAATTATGTATGTATGCACTAAGGTTTTCTCTGTTCCCTGATAAATAGCTAATCATATGCCAGAGTTAAGGGCTTATAGTAGTTTTGGAATGGGAAGGATTGGGAAGACTTCCTATGGCATCCAAGCTTCCCAAGAGTTTTACCTAGGGTTTCTTTGTGGATTTGGAACAGACTAGGGATACAGAAACAATCAGTATAATAGTATTCCTTCTCTACTCATCCACCTCAGCCCCTCCCCAGCTCTGAACCAACAAGGGGTCCTGAAATTGGAACCATTTCACCCCCAAACATGTTTCTCACATAAAGGTAATAACTGTATAGAAGCTTCAAGTCAGATGGTGGCTCTTTATAGTGGAGGTTCCACCACACGTTTACGATCTATTGCCTTAAACTCTAGTGTTCTAGGCTCTTATTCATCAAATCATCTTCTTAACAATTAGGGTAAAGCTTAAGTTTGTTATTTTCAATCTCTGTCAGTACTAATTCAGGATACATGATTTTTGTTACATCTACCTTCCTTCTCTTGAACTTCCCAGTCTCGGCAAGTCATCATCACTATCGTATCGTCTTGGATTGTCGAAAAAGTAAGCTCTGGAGCTGTAACTGTGACTATTTATCATGCCAGCAGGAGCCTGTGAACACAGTGTTAGAGAGTACAAGAAAGGAGGCTAGGCTATAGTAATTGTTAGTTTTAAACTTTGCACAAAAAGGAAATCAATATGAACATTTCACACTGTTTAGAAATAAGTATTTGGGGATATTATAATATCATACCAAATTCTGGTTTAATCTCTGTGCTCGGAAAAACAGTACCACTGACCATGCTGGTACATGTTCCCACAGAAAGAGGACCATTCCAAATACTATGTAGTCTTCTCCACTTACGTCTTCTACACGAGCCTGTAAACAGAGGACAGGCAGAGCTGTTTTTAGTCCTGTTTTATGTACAAGCCTCACCATCCACAATTACCTTGTTTCTGGTTGGGAAAGTTAAAATGCATCAACCCACAAGCATAAAATTTTCTATATTTTGTGGTTTCTCATGTAACGATACTTTTCCTTTAAGGAACATAAAACGCTTTGATGTCAAGTAAGATTAAAAAACTGCTAACTTTTAATGGATCAATTTTTGAAAAGTGACTTTAATCTTGGAGGGTAAGGAGCTGTCTCATTTTGGAACCCTGTAGCCTGAAGGCTGACTGCTCCAGCTGCTGCTATGGGACAGCAGCACTCACCTTGAGTTAGGCCTGCAGATGAGGAGAACATGGAAAGCCACTCTGCCCAGCTGTCCCATCATGTATACTCTGGGGCCTAATCTGCATAGAAAACTTGTTTTTATTCTGACAGAGGTAGGTAGCGGGAAATGGGAAAAGGAGGGAAAACCATCTGCCACAGGGAAACATGAAAATTCCTTCTCCATAGAAAGGTAGATGGGAAAATGGTATTCCAGGATGCCTTGTATTCAGTACAAAGTTAATGAAAAGCTATGCCATATGGATAGGTCAAACTACTTTTAGGAAGGTGACGAGTGGTGGGAAACTGAATAGTCACAGCTAGATTACTGGGAATCACTACAGCAAGTACCTCGGCACCAAAGGAGCTACAAATTTTCTACTATTAAATTGTAATGCCAGAATTTTAAGAAAGTCACTATTTAAACTTCTAAAACTAAACCAAGAGTTAAGGTTGCATGTGGTTCTCAAGTAATTTTGTCCTAATAAAGACATAACCTATATTCACTGGTAATGATAGGCAATTAATTTATCTAGAGATATTTGAACACCAACCTTTTAAAACTTAGTAAACTAGGTTTTTGACCAGTAGGTTTATGACACTATTATTTGCAAAAAGAAAACTACTTCAAGAAAGTTCTCTTGGAAGAGTGATTTCAAGTATCATGTGTAAATGAAGATTCTTAAACAGAGCTTTAAGGATGATCACTAATGTCAGAGATTCCATAAAAGTATAAGTCAGACACTAAAATGTTCTAGATAAGGTTAACTGAATTATCAGGTGTATGAATTGTAGATTGGCAAAATGTGGTGTAGGTACTTACCTTATCTGAAAGATTATCCCAGCCATAATTAAATGGACTTTCTAATGTATCCTGAGATATGGTGATCACCACCAAATTATAGCAAGCTCTGGAAGAGTAGAGAAGAATGACTACAGAGCCCACGACGACAGTCTGGCACAGAGACATACCCTAAAAAAAATAAAAATCATCATCATGCTATTCTGCACATTTGTCACGGCAAGCTACTCATCCATGGAAAACAATGGTCACATCCTGGAAAGCATTCCTAGAAAGCACTGAGTGGACATCTGTTGAAATAAACTCTCGATTATCTTGGCTTACAATTCCTGTTCCTAGAATTACATATTGTGTTTAATATGTATAAGTTAATATGTATAAGTTCTTTGTCAATCTGCCAAATGGCAGCTGGAGGAAGACTTTGTTCTCCCAATGTTACCTTATTCCTGTAAGTAATACATGAATAGACAAGTTGGCAAAAGATCTGAACTTTAATTGATGCTAATCAGAGAGGTTGGATTAGTCATAAGAAAGAATGGAAAATAGAAGCATTAAAAGCATTAGTCCATTTGATACACTTAGTTTCCTATACAAAATTAAATAGAAATTCAGTTCCTAGACTATTCACACCATTCTGTTAGAGAGTTGATGTTAGTCCCTTCTTGAGGCCATTATGTTGATGCCAAAATAATCTAGAAACTCAAAGGTACTTTCAAATTCATGACATAAATTTACGGCTTTTACCATTTCCCCAAATATAGAAAGCCCTTCTAACTTCATGGCCCTCAACTGTGGTATACACACTGGAGCAGGGTGTGATAGCCACCTCTTGTAGATATTCTTAACCTGGGGGTCTGTATTTCAATACAACTGTCTTCCTTTGTAATCCTATGTATTTTATCTTGTGCATAAAAACCATTTTTCTGAGAAGGGAAACCACTGTCAAAGAGATTAGCTGCAAAATAACACTCAATAAGGTGTCATGAGTGTCATAGATTAAGGGGTAATTATGCCATTTATCACACGAAGTTCAGGCATGCTAGATGACCAGAAACTCATGGGGGAGTTCTCTACAAACTGACTTTTCTAACTTTCACAAAGATGAAAAACCTATTAGCGATCTGGGCCAGAGCCTAACTTTGGTTTACATTTAAACAAACTTTGTTTGCATAGTTCAAATACATGACAAATTTTGAGAAACAAATATACATAATGTACAAACTAATGGAAACTTGTACTTTGTTCAGAACTTTATTGAGTTGTTCAAATATTTGAGAAAATCATGACATTGACAACAAAATGCTTGTCGTATATGTGACCAATGCAAAGCACTTGTAACACTGTCTTTGCAGCTGCTCCACTGAAATATTTCTTTCCTTTTATTTCCTCTTTATATTAAAATTTTATATGTGTAGTACATTGAAAATCTATTATTTTCAGGATAGAAACAGGTTATTAAAAATATTTGTTACCAAAAGGGTACAGGGTTGAGAATCATTATTATAACTGACTTCCTGATGCGAACAACACATTTTAGAGGTTTATAAGAAGAATTAAAAGATAAAAGATACTTTGAAAGATATTGAGAGAGCACCTTCCTTGAGCTAACCTACTACAATAACCAAAAGTATCTGTGACAATAAATAAAACCCAGGAAAGATTAAATTTGGAAAAAATCAAGGCCAATTTTCTGCATATGCATTTTTATTTTTGTGAATCCCCCAAGATAATGTTAATAAAAAGTTAATCTAAAACATGTAGTTTTATTTTTTAGATGGGGTCTCATTATGTTTCCTAGGTTGGCCTCAAACTCCTGGGCTCAAGTGATCTCCCTCCTCAGCTATCTGAGTATCTGGGATTACAGGTGCAGGCTACCTCACCTCCCTCAAATTTAATGTTTTTATTAGTACATTTTTTGCATTACATACATACTGGTTACTTTCATTGTGGGTCAGATTTCATTTCAAAAGTACTACATTATTAAAGAAAGAGAAGAAAACACACCTGTAACCATTACCTAAAATAACCACAGAAGTTTATATCCACTGTTTTGAGAAATGACTACTAGAACAAAATATACTATAATATGGAGAGACAGCTTAACTTGTAAGTACTATAAAAACTTTTCTAAAAAGAGAAAAGATCGAAGAATAATACCAATGCAATTATTGAAACAAAACAACATGTAGCAAATTACATGCATAAAAATAAACCCACTGATGTAGAAAACAAAATAAGATCAATTCTGCAAAGGATTACAAAATTTAAAATTTTTAAATTAAAATTGAAAATAAGGATCCAGCAACCTTTAAAGTTATCAAAAGGTTGGAGAAAAGCTTCCTAAAATGAGTAGAATCAGAAGCAAACCATTCACTAACAAGCCATCCTTCAGGAGTGATTTTTCCTTCTTCCATCTCTGACACCTACCTACCCACCTACCTACCCTTTCTAAGAAATGCCATATGAGGGCCAGGGATTTAGCTCAGTGGTTTCACCGCCTGCTGCACAAGCACAAGGACCTGAGTTCAATCCCCAGTACCAAAAAAAAAAAAAATGCCATATTCAGGAATAGAGCTACACTACACTTCTAAGCACTGTAATATCTATTTTTAACTAGATTTCAATATTTGCTTACAGATACTTTTAGAATACAGATAACCCAAATCTCTACCCAAATATAGAATACTACCATCAACCCAGAAGGTTCCCACGCACCCCTCCCCTCATCAGCCAACCCCTAGACACAAATACCCCTGCTGCTTTTTTGATAATTCAGTTCTGCTTGCTCCAGAACGTCACAGAAGTGGGAATCACAGAATATGCACTCTTGCAGGTTTCACTCGCCAGTATGTTTTAGGGTTTATTCACATTGCTGGATGTATCAGCGGCCAGTTCTTATCGCTGAGGGTTGACCGAGTGAGTCTTCCTGGTTTGCTCAGGAGTTTCCAGGGGTAAGCACTTAAAGTTAGTTCTGGAAAAAAACTTCCAGGCAAATCAGGACAATTAATTTCACCAATCTTACTGTATCATTATATGAGTTTGTTTATACAACAATTCCTGTATTCATATTCTGTTGATGGACAGCTTCTGGGAACACTCCTGTACATTTTTTTGTGGATATATGCTTTTATTTTGTCGATAACAAATACCTAAGAGTGAAATTCATGGGTCATATGATAGGTATAAACTCAGATATATTAAGAAATTACCAGAGATTTTCCCAATGGTTGCACAATTTTATACTTCCAAGAAAATATGAGAGTTCCAGTTGTTTCATTTGACTGTATAATCCTAGGGCTCACTTGGGGGTGCTAGTCTTTTCTGGTTATTTTTAGTTATTTTATTTTTAGTAATATTCTGGTTTGAATTTGTCTTACCCTGATGACTAATATAATGCTATTGGTTTTTGAATCTATTCAGATCTTTTGGACACTTCTAAACTGGGTTGTTATGGAAGTAATAACCATAGAAGAATGTCAATATATCAGACTTAATTAAAATTTTAAATTTCTCAGGCTGAGGATTTAGCTCAGTGGCACTGTGCCTGCCTTGCAAGAGCAAGGCCCTGAGTCCGATCCCCGGTACCAAAAAAAAAAAAAATTTTAAATTTCTCATCAAAATACTACACCGAAGAAATACAAAGGCAAGACACAGGTTTAAAGAAAATATTTGTAGCACATATATCTGACAAGGAACTAGTGCCTAGCTTGTACAAGATCTGTGGTTATTACTTTCAGAGACCTAAGAAATCTTTGCCTGTACTCAAGCTATAAAGGTATTCTCCTGTTATCTTTTAGAATCTTTTGACTTTTTCCATTTACATTTAAGTCTGAGATCCATGAGGAGGTTCATTCTGTCCCATATAGATATCCAGTTGCTCCAGCACTATTAGTTAAGAATAATTTCTTTCCCCATAGGATTACTTTTAGCATCTTTTTCAAAACAAACCACATGAGCATGGATGGATTTCTAAGCTTTCATTCTGTTTTCCTTCTTCCCTCCCTTCCTTTTCTTTCTAGTCACTGGGGATGAACTCAGGGCCTTTGCACTAAGCTACATCCCCAGCCCCTTTTTTATATTTTTATTTTTAGACAGTTTCATTAAATCGATAAATTGCCTAGGCTAGGCTGGAACTTGCAATCCTCTTGCCTTACCTTCTCAGAGTGCTGGGATCACAGGTGTGTGCCCCCGTGCCTCACCAACTTTTTTTTTTAATCTATTTTATTGATGGGCCGGGGATTTAGCTCAGTGGTTCTGTCACTTGCCTCGAAAGTGCAAGGATGCGAGCTCAATCCCTGGTACAAAACAAAAACCAAAAACCAAAAAAACCTACTTTATTGAGTTATGATTGACATGGAAAAAGCTTGTATATATTTAATGTATACAACGTGAGTTTGTCAACTTGTCGATTTCTATTTTTTAAAAAAATGCACGATAAAATTACACTTCAAATTGAATTCAATTTTTAGATTAAATTGAAGAGAATTGCTATCCTTGCAATCCTGTATCTCCCACTCCATGAATATGACATAGCTCTTCATTTATTTAGGTTGTCTTTAACTTTTCTAAGCAATATTTTGTAGTTGTCAGGATGGAGGTATTGCTTGGTTCTTGAAAATTCTTAAAACTATTGGAATCAACTTTAAAAAATTTTACCTCTTCATTTCCAATTTTTGTTTGTTTCTTCCTTTCTTTCCTGGAATATTGAATGAAAATGGTGGCAGCCAACAGCCTTGCTTGGTTCCCAATACTGGGGACAGAACATTCACTATTTAAGAATGCTATTATGGAGTTTTAAAAATAAATTTCTTTTTTTATCAAATAGAGGAGAAATTCTCTTCTATTCTCTATTGATTTATTTTTTAATTTTGAAGGGTGCTCAATTTTGTCAAATGCTTTTTCTACATCTATTGGCATGATTATGTGGATTTTTCTCCTTTGTTCTGTTCTCTTCATGGGATGAATTCTATAATTAATTTTTAAATGCTAAACCAATGTTCATTCCTTGATAAATCTCTCTTGGTCTTGATGTACTGTCCTTGTTATATGTTGATTAGATTTTGAGTCTAAATATAAAGGATAAATATAAAGGATACCAGCCTGTAGTTTTTATTTAGTTTGTAATATTTTTGTCAGGTTTTGGTAACAGGGTAATGCTGGCCTCGTGAAAC